GACAAAACAGAAGAGACTCATAAATATGGAGAAAAAACTGAGGGCTACTAGAGGCGTTGTGGGAGGGGGGATGGGCTAAATGGGTAAGGGGCACTAAGGAATCTACTCCTGAAATCATTGTTGCACTATATGCTAATTTGAATGTAAATTTAAAAAAATAAAAAATTAAATTAAAAAAAATAAAGGGAATATAAGACCCACCTCAAAAAAAAATTAAAGAAAAAGGAGGATCTTTTCCCAATACTTTGTTCTATAATTTAAAAAACCACGTCCCTGTAGTAGGTTGAATAATGGCCCCCAAAGATATCAAGATCCTAGTCCTCGAAACTTGTAAATGTAATCTTATTTGGAAATATGGTCTTTGCATATGTAATCAAGTTAAAATGAGATTATACTAGATTAGAGAAGACCCTAAATCCAGTTTTACTGGTATCCCTATAAGAAGAGGATATTTGCACAGGAGTTTCTCAAAACACTTGGAAACTAAAAAACACATGCTAATTAAACACCATACTTCGAAATAATCATAAAGGAAATCTCAAAGAAAATGAAAGAAGTACATTGAGCTGAATGCAAGATATGAAAACTTGTGGGGCTTAGCTGGAGCACTTAGAGGGAGATGTATAGCGCTGATCGCACATGTTGGAAATGACAAAGAGTTTCAGTAATCTAAGCTCCTACCTAAAGAACCTAGAAAAAGAAGAGCAAAATAAACCCAAATCAAATAGAAAGAAGGAAATTATATAAGAGCAGAGATCAATGAAATTGAAAATAGACAAGAAAATCAATGAAACAAAGAGCTTGAGCTTTGAAAGTTCAATAAAATTGATAACTCTCTACCAAGACTATTAAAATTAAAAAGAGGACACAAATAACCTATATCAAGAAGGAAACAGAGGCTATCACTACAGGCCAAGCAGTCATCAATATGATAATAAGAGAATACTATAAACAATTGTACACACAAATTTCACGACTTAGATGAAATGGACCAATTTCTCAAAAAACACAAACCACTATGTTCATCCAATATGAAATAAATAATTTGAGTAGTCCTTTATTAAAGTAATTGAATTTGTAATGAAAAACTTCCCCCGAAAGAAATCTGGAAGCCCAGATGGTTGCACTGGAGAATTATAACCATTTAAAGAAGAATTAATACTAGGGCACCTGGGTGACCCGGTTGGTTAAACATCTGACTTTTGATCTCAGTTCAGGTCATGGTGATCTCAAGGTTCCTGATATTGATCCCCACAACAGGCTCTAGGCTGAACAGCACGGAGCCTGCTTGGGATTCTCTCTCTCCTTCTCTCTCTGCCCCTCCCTTGCTTGCACATTCTCTCTCTCTCTCTCTCTAATAAATAAATAAATAAACTTTAAAAAATTTAAAAACAAGAATCCAATGACTCCAAACCCAGCGCTCTTTTAAGCCATTTCCTGGTTTAAGCTGCATACATTATATTCCTATTTTAGTGATCCACTTAACCTTCTTAACAACTGGGTCCTTTTTGAATAGTCTGCAGCCCACTGCTCATATGAAATGTAAGTGCCTAGGTTAGCAGTGGAATCTTTTACATCCCTGCTGAAAATTTTAGTGTTTGGGTTTTTTTGTTTTGTTTTGTTTTGTTTTGTTTTGTTTTGTTTTGTTATTTGGTTGTTGTTGTTGTTGTTTTTGGACTGGATTAAGACAGAGTCCTATGCCAATTTTTCTATAAGGAACCTGCTTGTTGAAACACACTGATCCAGATCAAATCCCAGCATTTGAAATTCAGGAAATTGTACAACCTCCCTGTTCAAGGGCAGTGTGTTTTGTACTCCTTAAGATAAGCAATATGTTGCTGGGGATGTGACAATCTTTTCAATATTTAGAAAGATATGCTGGTGGGTGGTATTCACTGAGATGCAATATGACCTTTCTTTCCCTGTCCTCTTCCTTCTGCTTTTCACCACAGTCATTTATCAATTTAATCACTAGCTTTCTGCTTCCTGGACGAGTTTCAATAGAAATGTGGATACTTGGGTGTTGATTAAGATGTCCATTTTTGTGTGTTCATATATTTTATTTAGTCTATCAATATAAAGTCACTAAACTCAAACTTAAAATGACAGAATCATGTGCAGCAATGGTAACTGGCCTGGAAAAAAACAAAGCAAAAAACGATTTTAGAAGCAAAAAGATACCAGTGAAGGGGAGCAGATGTGTCACCTGTAGTAAGCTGTGGCAACTGTAGGGCTCATTTGATTGTTTCCCATCTCTTAAGAGTCCCTGTCCTTTGTTGCCTGATGTACACTATCCTGAAAACTGTTATTTCATACATTTTGTCATTTGGGGCAGGAACGTTAAATCTGGTCCCAAGCACTCCATCTTCATTAGAAGAAGAAGTTTTTCAATTCCATGGAATACTATACAGTTATTGAAATAATTATAATTAGTATTAGAGAAAGATGAAACAGGGTTACAAGTGAAAGCCAAAGCTGTGGAGTAGCATGTAAACTATCATTATCACTAAGTGAAAAACACATATGCTGGTATACTAAGACTGAATGGGAATAAGCAAAGTAAATAGCAATTGTGCCATGGTGGTGGGATTATGGGTTTCTTTAAAAAATGTACCTTTAAATGCTATAATTACTTAGGTTTTATAAGTTTTATAAAGTGAGAATTTTTAAATCCAGCTTTCCTCAAAACACACTAAGTTCCTCAAAACACAGTAAGTCGAAGGACTCTGGATTGTTCACACATTACACACTACAGGTCCTGGGTAAATAGCTGTTGACTGACTGATGAGGCAAGGCTGTCAACTGCATAGATGCCAGACTGATAGCCAGAGCTATATGGATGTCTTGGCCTCTTTTCCTAGCATAATTGCAATTAGTTTGCGTGTAAACAGAACATTGCTCTGTTTAAATTAGCCTTTTTCTATGTAATTTCCTCCATTTCATACTTCCTTGAACAGAATGTTAGGTTAAGCAGAGGTATTGTGTTCAGAAAGTTTTACCTACGTACAAGTAGCTTGTTATCCTTCAAGGTTCTTCTGACTCGTCTAAGAATTAAATTTACATCAGACAGATTAACAGGAGAAAATTAAACACGGATATATCTTACATACACATAGGAGAGACCCAGGAAAACTGAGTGATTCCCCAAGATGACTGAAGCCATCATCTTAAATACCATCTCCAGCTAAAGACAAAAGAAGATGCTGGGACTGGGGGAGTCAGTTATAGGAGGTGAGCAGGAAAAGCACAGTAATAAGGGTACGAGTCTTGTGCAGATCT